CAGAAATGTTGATAGGGAACTATAAAATATTTTGGAGAATCCCTCTGAAATATTAGTATTTTTAAATAATATTTCCTTTTAGCTACAGTAAACAGTTTACCTTAGGAACACAGTGTGACATATTTTCCCATTGGTGCATGATTTTTGCTCTCTTTTTATTATTTTCTATCATGTCTGTTTAATAACAGAAGTTTCTTTGCCCATCAGGCTCTATGTGTTAAAAAAAAAAATCTTCTAAATTGAGCTATTGTTACATTAATACTTCTACATGGAGGCATCATAAAGCAATTATAAGTTTTTATTTTAAATTGTTAAATATGAAGAGTAAAACTTTATTGGACCATAATGCCATAACTAATACCCTCAAGAAACTGTAAAGATTGTGAATTTTTTTCTATAGCAAGCTCTCTCATAAATAAGACTGCCATTAACTAAAAATATAACACACCCCATATTCCTTTTTTGAATGATCCTATTCTGCCCTTTTATTTTCCATTTAAAGATTCTTTGGCCTACCTCCTTTCTATTTCTTAACTAATACAATTGCAGTATTTCACTGGGTGCACATACCTGTAGTCTCAGCTACTTACAAAGCTGAAGCAGGAGAATTGCTTGAGCCAAGGAGTTTGAGGCTGCAGAGAGCTATGATTATGCCACTACACACCTGCCTGGTCAACAGAGCAAGACCCTGTTTCTAAATTAAATGAATGACTAAATAATTTTTTAATTGCAATATTTATCCTTAAAACTATAGACCCTTCCAAATACTAATGAATAAAATATTTCCCTTTCTTTGCACCTACAAAAGAATGAATTATTTTCTACATCGTAAACTCACTTTGCAGATATTTTTTTTTTAAGATTACTTTATGAAACACCAAGATTTGTAGAAATTGGTCTCATGTCCTATAAAAGTAACCTATAACTTCTGAAAGTTATAAAGTCTGATTCATTATGCTTAATACTGGTAATAATACTATACCTGACATTTCTGTTTTCTGAAAAATATCCTTTTTTTCCTTGAGCCATGCACAGTATATTGAATATTTTATTTTATCCTCAGCCTTATAAGATAGATTTAACACCATTCTACTGATAAGAAGAGGCAAAGAGGTTAATTGTTTAATAAGTGGTGGAGTGAGGAAAGTGAAACACGCCTGTTTCAGTCTTTAGTTCAAAACCTATACCAACCACTACACTATCATGCATATACAACATTTGAATACATGTTTTAAAATTAATAAGAAACCTGATTAACATGTATAACATTTAGAAATTGTAAACATGCTTTTGACTGATCCTAACTGCTAGTGAGTTTGAGCGGTAAGTCTAGCAATAAATGACTTGGGAAGAACAAATCTCCTCCTATGAAGTCCATTCCCTCATATAATTTTTTAATTGTTAGAATTATTTAGTATCCCATGGTTGCACTAAAACACTAAAATTCTGTTTCCTTGATTACAGCAGGAGGCGCTGCATAGCTTTTCTGTAAGAATATCTACACATACTTTGTTATGGTATCTTGGAATCTGTTTTGCTATTCACCTGTTACACAGAGGTGGCTGTTCCTTATCTGCAGTTTAACAGTATTGAGTATGAACTCTATTCAAGTACTATGCTGGAGGTAATATTGACTAATAGTTAATATCCAAGATTATGGAGTCGAATGTTGGAAAGTTTACTTAACCTCTCTCTACTTTAAAATCTTTAAAATGGGGATGATAATGGGACCTACCACATGGGTTATACAGATTAAGTGAGTAAATACAGCAAAGGCCATAAGAATCACTGGCACATAGTAAACACAATGAATATTAGCTGTTAATATTTGTATTGTTTACTTTGCACTCTTTCTTACATCTTTCTTCAGTAGCTCTCTATTTTAAATTACACTTGTTTGTATAACTAAGCCTGCCTATATGCTTGTCTATTATACTCGAATATAATAGACCTATTTATTATATTAATGAATTTTTCTCTTATAGTGTAACTAGATGTATTTGTTTCTGCTAGCTGAGGGATGATTTATTTAATTTAATTCGTTAATGCAGATCCTGCTGTGTGAGGTACTATGCTTGGTTCTGGGGATATTATCATGAGCAAGACAGCTGTGTTCCAGCTGATTGGAGTAGCAGCCTCAAACATGTTTTTACATTTCACACCTCTGTCCAGGAATATTTCTGAGCATGCATGCAAAAATGAATATTTATTTATAAGTGACATACATGTCTCTCCACTAGGATATTGTATGGATTTTACAATAAATTCAGAAATTGAAATTTAAAAGAGACAAAAGAGAAAAAGCTTAATATTCTCTTTCCCTTTGGATAGGTTCACCCCCTTTGGAGAATTCACTGGCTTAAGATATCAAGGGAGGGACACAATCAGAGAAACAAAGAGGAGAGTATCTGAAGGAGAAGTTCTCTGTGTTAGGAGACCAACATCTGGAGGGCCAGAAAAGGCTTACCTAAGGAAGCAAGATTTGAGATAGGATCTGAAAGGCAGAGTTTGGTGTTTCCAAAGCAAGCAGATTGAGAGTATAGTGTTTGTAGCTAAAAGCATGATGTGTTCAAGAAACTAAGAGAATGCCAGTGTTGTTGATGAGGCAGTGTCATAAGAGATGAAGTAGTGATCATATCATCAACTTTGTAGTTCTAGGTGAGTGATTTTTTTCCCTATTATTGCTAAAAAGAGGTCTGAAATAGTACAGCTTAACAAAAAACTTAAAGAAGTCTTTTATAGCAAATTACTGCTTTACACACTAAAAGCAATCTTTTAATAACCATACTGTGATATTTTGCAACAGTAAAAAAAAAATAGTGTATTTTGAAAACAAAAAGTAAAGGAAGGGAAAATAAATTGAAAATGTTTCTCTGATTTTCAAGCAGTCTGAAGGATAACACCCGGGAAACAAATCAATACCACCTACATTTATACTATATTCTCTCTTCTGCTTATAATGTTTAGTACTTATTCAGAAACATTTTACTCAGGGGATTTATAACTGTATAATAAATGAAAAATCTAGACCATAATTCTAGTAATTATAAAAGCAATATTAATGAAAGTAACAACAATAGCTCTCATCATGGCTCACTTCTGAGCACCTTATATGTGTTATGTAATTTAATCCTCATAGTGACTATCTGAAGTAAATGCTATTGATATACCATTTTAATGAACAAGAAACTTATAGATGATAGAACCAGTCTGACTGGAAGCCACCCTCTTATGCACTATTCTTTGCTTTTTCTCAGGAACTACTCCATAAGACAGTGAAGAATGGCATAAAATTGGAGCCAGACTAACTGGCTTATGGGAAAGACTTAAGTGCTTATCCTTTTGGATTAAAAAAAAAAATCAAAGCTTAACTTTTTTAAGCTGGACAGCAGGGAGTTAATATTAAATGGCATATTTTCCTGGCTACACAGTTAAATCAATATTTTAGAATACATTATATATATATATATATAAAATATGGTATCTGTTACACCTAAGATGTATAGTATCTGAGAATGATGTGTATGTGTAGTATCTGAGAATGATACAGAAACCTGTAAAAAATATATGTTCTGCCTTCTGGAACCTGTACCTACCTGTTCAAGCAACTATTAAATCAAGGTGATAAAATAACAAATGAATAGAAGAATGAAAGGGGCTATAGAAATTCAAAATTAGAAAAGATTATTATTAGTCATGTTACCAAAAAGAACATGTACATTTGCACTTTATCATAAAAAGGTAGACTTTAGTTCAACTAAGTTGTAGAAGAGAGTGGGAATGGTATAATCCATTAAGAGGTAACTGCATGAGCAAATACATTTGCACCTTATCATAAAGGATGACTTCAGTCCAACTAAGTTGTAGAAGAGAGTGGGAACGGTATAACCCACGAAGAGGTAACTGCGTGAGCAAATGCACCAGGGCAGAAATGTGGAAGATAGCCTGAAACAATGAGTAGACTGATCTAAGGAGAAAAAACTAAATACTGAAATGTAATGGGATATGTATTTGAGAAATATGGTTATAGTGGGCCCTGATTGCTTAACTAAGGAGTTTCAGATTTATCCCAATAAATGGGAGAGGTATTGAAAGCTTTTGAAGCAGAAAAGTGACAAAACAAAAATGCTCTTAGAAAATAACATGTAGAAAGAAGTGAAGAAGAGAAATTTCCATTTTAGAGGTCTTCATTAGGAAATAGTTGGAATAATCAGGACATGATATAATAAAAAGTGGAAGTGAGATGCCATCTTGAAGTTGAGCTGAAGGAATATGTTTTAAATATATTTTAAAGGAAGAATTGCTAGAACAGCATGTCTAATTAATCAGAGGTATTAATATTTATATTGCCAAGAATAAATAAGCCTTTATTCCTTGTTTTTGATAATTCATAATTTTTTCATCCTCTTGATTTTTACATTACACCTAAATTGTAACCAAAGTTGTGAGCTGTGGTAGTCTAGCATTGTATTGTTTAAATTCAAAACCATCTCATGATACTTTGTTTAAATTATTTTGAGAATTTGCAAGGCATAAATGAGATCAAGTCAGATCCAACTCATTATATGCGGCTTGATCAGTGGCTGATATTGAAGAAGTTCTCTGTGCATAGCTGTTGAATTATTGCCTCTAGTAACAGATGTTGTCATGAGATGCGCACTGTAATATTGAGCCAGTAAATCTCAAATGCGTTTCACAGCACAATGGAAACTTTTGAAAGATGAATCGTTCTTTCAAAAATGAGACTTTTTAATACTTTGTTTAAAACTTCTTTCTCAGAGTCTTCACTGATGTATGTTATAAGAGTTGTCAAAAGGAGATCCTGAATACTTTGTGACATGTAACTTTAAAATGTTCTCAAAAGTATTACTACATTTTGATCACATTTGGATCTTGTGCCAGATTCACAGAAAATATTTAAAAATATTTCATGATTGAATTTAAAACCATCTAAAGTTTACATTGGAAAAACTAAAAATTTATTCAATTTTTTTTTACAGTGATCAGCATGTTGGTAAAATTTACTCCAAATGTTCTTCATTTCTGGATTATGTCAGAAGGTCTCTAAAGAAGCTTGGATTAGATGAGTCCAAGGTAAGTATATGATGACTCATAATTTTCATAAAAGATGAAAGAACTTCTCTTTAGTAATGAATTGAGAGAATACAAAATAACTTCTCTTCTACTTTTCTCTCATTTGTGAAAACCTCCAAATTATATTGAAACCAGACCTGCATCATCTTTTTTCCAGTTTATTCTTCCTGTCATTGTAGAAAGTTTACTGTCATGTATCTTCACAGTTTCCCTCTTTCAGTTAGATTTAAAAATGTGCTACTTCACAAATCAAAATAGAGTTAGAAATCAAGGCAACAGTACAAATGAGAAATAGAAGTAAAGCAAGAGGGAAAGGTTTTAATTTTGCAATGCATTTATTTACAGCTTATATAACTAACTGAAATTTAAAATCTTAAATTCAAAAGCCTTCAAATAGGAGAATCTTGAAAAGTTGTAATATCATAAGAGGCCCAAGTTAATAATTGATAACATATTATTGAAAGCAGAAGGGTAAACTTGTTGACTGATATTAATAAATATTCTACCACTGAGGGAAAATAACAGCTTTCAACATTATTTAGATGAGCTATTAATACTAAAGTATTAAACAAACTTGGATTACTTAGGTATTTTGAATTTATTATAAATTGAAACAAAGAATAGAGTAGGTAGTTAAAGGAATGAAATGGATTTCTTGAAAATGTTAAAAGGACATGATAATGTTGTATCAAAGCTAAAGGGTATTATTATTTATTATATCAGTTATTCATTTAGTCCCCAGTTGCTTTATTACTTAAAGCAATTGAACTGGGACTAGTCAGTTTCCTCCTCTTTAAAATAGCTATAAGAAAGCCATAGGATTTAGGAAGGATTAAATTAGGTAATAGACATAAAGCTTTTATAGTATAACAGTGTATATAGTATATGCTAACTATATGATATTCCTTTTAATTATTATAATCCCTTTATATGTACTACAAGTAATAACACAATTGACATGATGCTTATAAATATTTGTATTTAGTTACTAATGAAGACTTTCCTACTTTTGTCATAAAGGAGAATAGACATGGTTACATTAATTAATTTATTTCTAGGTTCTTTTAAAAAAATGTTTTTCATTTACCTGACTGATTTTCTTTACAATTAGTCTTAACTATTGCAAACCTTTAGTGCATATCTCATTTCGTGTCTTGTATTTAATATCAAGAACACTAACCTAAGCATTATTGTCACAAATTAAGAGCTACAGTTTTACTTAAACTTAATACATTTAAAAATTTATTATCTTTCCCTCTGGCTTTGTTTTCCCAGTTTAATAACCACAGCAAATGTTTCTTAATATATTTATTAGTATATAATTAATAAGATATTAATAATAGTTAATATTTACTGAACACTTACTCTGTGGTAGATGTTATGCTATGGACATCAGAAACATTATTTACTTTTCACAAAAACATTTATAGTGGATAGCTTCCATTCCAGCATATAAAAGCTTGGAAATTGCCGCTCCGTCTTAGGAAGACTTAAAAGCTAAAAAAAAAAACAGAAAAGCCCGCAACTCTTTAGAGAAGTGAGGTCACAGGGCAAACTGCTGCCTCCCACACTGGAAAGACAGGCAAATGCAGAGATTTACAACTTACAGGAGCAGAAACCTCCACATAAACCTATGCCAGGTAGGAAAAAACCTGAACTGTAATTGACAAATTATTGGAGGCTCAGTGTGGACAACTTTGGCAATTAAAAAATATAGAGGGAACCACTCATAGGGGACCACCCACACCTTTGTGAGTTTTACCTTAATGAGCTTAACCTGATTTTAGAGAATAGTAGAGAAAAAGTCCCCTCCTGCTTCCATCAAGGGGAGAAGAAAAATAACCATTTTGAAATATACCAGAGCATTCTACTCTTCTGAATGGTTTCTCAGAAGAAACTATGTAATCAGAGCTTAACCTGCTGGTGTTTTATTAGAGCCTAACTCACCTGAAGAAAGGAAAATACCCAGCTCCAGCTAACTCTAACCTTCCATGGGGGAGAAGAAAATATCCAACTCTAGCCTGCTCTAGCCATCCTGTACCACCCAAGAAAGGGTAAAAATACTGAGATGCACTAATAAAGTTTATAGTACAGAGACACAGGCTTACTAAAAGACTGAGACATAATTATAGGACTCAAACCATTGTAAATCATTACCCCTCCCCTCACACCTTACCAACAGGTCACTAAAGGCTTGCTTACCACAGTTACTTTTACCAAGTATTTTATATCTGGCCATTGAGAAAAAATTACAAGGCATACTAGAAGGCAAAAAACACAGATTGTAGAGACAGAGCAAGCATCAGAACCAAATTCAGATGTAGCAAAGATGTTAGAATTATCATACCAGAAATTTAAAACAATAATGAGTAATATACTAAATGTTCTAACGGACAGGGTGAATAGCCTGCAAGAACATACTGAAAATGTAAGGAAAGAGATGGAAGTTAAAAAAAAAAAAAAACTAAAAAGAAATGCTAGAGATCAAAAATACTGCCATAGTGGACAGCCATGGTGTCTCACACCTGTAATCCCAACACTTTGGATGGCCAAGACTGGAGTATTATTTGAGTCCAGGAGTTTGAGACTAGCCTGAGCAACATGGTGAGATCCCATCTCAGCAAAGAATTCAGAGATTACCTGGTGTGGTGGCATGCACCTCTATTCCCAGCTACTTGGGCAGCTGAGGCAGGTGGATTGCATGAGCCCAGGAGTTTGAGGCTGCAGTGAGCTATGATTGTGCCGCTGCACTTCAGCCTGGATGACAGAGCAAGACTCTGTCTCCAAGAAAAGAAAAACAGAGAAAAAAAATACTGGTATAGAAATAAAGAATGCTTTTGATAGTCTTTTTATTAGTCTGGACACAGCTGAGGAAAGAATCTCTGAAATTGAGGATCTATCTATAGAAAACTTGAAAACTAAAAAGCAAAAAGCCCATATGTTTCAAACTTAGGAACATCAGTTACATGCAAAATGAAATCATACCTAAAAGTAATAACATACTGAGTCACCTTTGCTCTGTTTATTCCAGAAGATCACAGTGATACTAATCTTTGGATAACTTCCTCTATCAACCTGAGAATATCAGGAACACTTCAGCCTCCTTGCCACTGGCTTTGTCTTCCCTGACTTCTTTGACAGGATCTGCTGATGCGTTCACCTTCACATACACTTACTTTAGTTCTTAAGCCAGTTATGTCCTAACCAAGAACCTTCAGTCCCACCCTCAAGTGGTGAGAACTATCTCAGTTGCTAACCCATCTTCTTATCACATATGATGTGGGGAGGGTCTCTGAACAACTGTATCTGTCATCTACTCATCCAACCCATACTCCATAAAGTTATAGTATGTGGTCTACCTTTGCTTATCTACACCCCCCTTATATAGATTTATTTTTTTTAATTGAATAAACAAATACATGGAGGAGAAGAGACAAATGTCCCATGGAAAAGAGCTCCAAATAATTTATATAGATATTTTCCCCTCGAGGAGATAAAGAAAAACTCCCCATGTTTTAAGTGTGGCCTGTGCATAATGACTTTTTTCCGAAGAGCATAAGTATGTGAAGCAGGGAAAACGAGGAACTTTCCAGTGAAGAACCTGACAAACAGAATCTCAGCCAGGTAATCAAGGTCAGCATCAACAGTGATAATTCATGTTGATAGTATGTACTCCTGTTATAAGGTAAGGAATATGGTGCTTTATTCCTGTAGTATTTCTTTCAAAAACCTATCCCTAATCTGTATATGAGAAAAATATCTGAGAAATCCCAGTGGAGAAACATGTACTTCTCAAAACTGTCAAGGTCTGCAAAAACAAGGCAAGTCTGAGAAACTGTCAAAGCCAAGAGGACTAATTTCAATGTGGTTTCCTGGATGGAATTCTAGACCTGGAAAAGGACATTACATAAAAACTAAGGAAATTTGATTATAATGTGGACTTTTGTTAACACTAATGTATTAATATTGGTTTACTAATTATAACAAATATACCATATTGTAAAATGTTAACAAGAGAAGAAAAAAGTATAGAGTATATGGAAATTCTCTGTCCTCAAAATTTCTGTAAATCAAAACTGTTATAAAATGTATTTATTTTTTAGGAACATCATGAGATAACTAATGTTTACCAAACCTTTGCTTTATGCCAGGCACTATGCTAAAAGCTTTGTTTATATTATCTTATTGAATACTAAGGATGGCCTTATGAAATAAGTGACATTATTATTGTTTTATAGATGAGGAAATTGAGACAGAAGTTAAGTGGATTTCTTTAGGACAAAATCTAGGAAATTTGGGAGGAGAGATTCCAATCCAGATGCGTAACTCTAGAACTGATGCTTCTGTTTGTCATACTTACATAACTTATTAACAGACTTGAGTACAAGAATGCTTGTTTGGCGTTTTTCCAAAACTAGCAATCGTCAGGCAAACAAACCTATGAGAAAAAATACAGAGAAAATTCATGTTTGTCAACAGACAAAATAAATGTACTTCTGAAACAGATTAAGGAATTAAAGTTTGAAATAAAGGCAGAAAAAAAAGCAAGAAATGATGAATCTTACTGAAGAGTTAAAGAAGACATGCTTGTATCCAGGACTTTAACTCATGAAAGTCTGGCTGATAGGATGAAACTGGTCAAATATATGAAACATTTTGGGTGCTAAGACATATACTGTCTAATGCACAGAATAATATCAGAGTTAAAATCACTGTCAACAAACTACAAGGAAAGTGGGAAGAAAAAAAAACCCTCAAGCACCTGAACATGATTTCTTATATATTGTCCCCCACTCCAGTTTCTCTTTAGGACTAGATATCTTCCTGTAGGTGACTCAGAGCCCACTAAGTAGGCCCTATAAGGGCCCCACTGCACATCTTAACTCATGCTGGTTCCTTTTTCTAGAGACTAGGAGTCGAGCAGTACAGAGCAATGGCATTCATTACCAGTACTTTCAGCTGCTGTTCAGTGTGCACTCTCAATTTACAAGTTTGCATGTCTGTTCTTGCCTAAGGATGATCTATGCCAGGCAGTGCTTCCATTCCAGTGCCTTCCTTTTATCTTCAGGAAGTTGAAGAGGCTATCACTGGCTTTAATACTCAATAATGATGTCTATAATATGAGACCATGAATATGTATTCATGAGACCATGAATATACAGTGCTATAGGCTGCTAGAACTTAATCCTCTTATCTAGCTATAATTTTGTATTCTTTAACAAATGTCTCTGTATACCGCATTTCACCCTACCCTTCCAAGCATCTGCAATCCTCTGTACTACATTTTATTTCTATGAGATTAACATTTTTTCCAGCTTCTACATATAAGTGAGAACATACCATGTTTAACGTTCTGATCCTGGCTTATTTCACTTAACACAATGAATATACATGTCACATGAGACCATGAACATACTTCTAACACCTATCTTTAAGGTGTGTATATACTGAGAGATACTCTCTTCATTTTAAAATTTTTCTTATAATCTCTGTGATCTAATGAGACTCTTTTTTTTTTTTTTTTTTTTGAGTCAGAGTCTCACTCTGTTGCCCAGGCTGGAGTGCAGTGGCACAATCTTACTGCAACCTCCGCCTCCTGGGTTCAAGTAATTCTCCTGCCTCAGCCTCCCAAGTAGCTGGGTCTACAGGCACACACCACCACATTCAGCTAATTTTTTTGTATTTTTAGTAGAGACGAGGTTTCACCATGCTAGCCAGGATGGTCTCGATCTCCTGACCTCATGATCCACCCGCCTTGGCCTCCCAAAGTGCTGGGATTACAGGCATGAGCCACCGCACCCAGCCGAGACTCATGTTTAAGTTTAATTTAAAAAGTTGATTAAAGCTTGAATCACTCTTTAAGCCCTGAAGTTTTCACTTAAAAATATATAAATACAGTCGTTCCTTGCTATCCTCAAAGGATTGGTTCCAGGACTCCCATGGATATCTAAATCCATGGATGCTCAAGTCCCTAGTGTCATAGTATTTGCATAGAACCTATGCATATCCTCCTGTATACTTTAGATAATCTCTAGACTACATATAATACCTAATACAGTGTAAATGCTATGTAAGTAGTTGTTATACTGTATTGTTTTTTGTTTTCTTTTTTTAATATATATTTTGTCTTTTATGTTTTTTAAACGGACACATTATTGTATATATTTATGATGTACATAGTGAGGTTGTAATATATTATGTCTATAGTGATTAGACTAGGATGAGTAGCATGTCCATCATCTCAGACATTTATTATTCCTTTGTGTTGTGGGCATTCAGGGTCCTCCTTCCAGCTATTTGAAACTATATAGTATATTATTGTGAACTATAGTCATCCTACAATGCTCTAGACTACTAGACCTTAATCCTCTCATCTAGCTATAATTTTGTATTCTTTAACAAATTGCTCCCCATAATTCACTTCCCCCTATCCTTTCAAGCCTTTGGAATCCTCTCTACTACATTCTACTTTTTTTTTTTCAGTTTCTGCATCTGAGTGAGAACATGCTACATTCTACGCTTTTTTTTTTTTTTTTTCCAGTTTCTACATCTGAGTGAGAAGATACTATGTTTTTAATGTTCTGATCCTGGCTTATTTCACTTAATATAATGTTCTGCAGTTCTACACGTGTTGCCAAGAATGAAGGATTTCATTATTTTTTATGGCCGAATCATATTTCATTGTTTATACATATCACATTTTCTTTGTCCCTGTTAATCTGTTGATGGACACCTAGGTTGATTCAATATCTTGGCTATTATAAATAGTGCTAAAGTAAACATAGGGATGCCAATGTGTCTTTGATATATTGATTTCTTTTCCTTTGGGTCAATGCCAAGCAGTGGGATTGCTGGATCGTATGATAGTTCTATTTATGATTCTTTCAGGAAGCTCTATCCGCTTCTCCATAGTGGCTATACTAGTTTACATTCTCACCAACAGTGTATAGGAGTTCCTTTTCTCTGAATCTTTGCCAACATTTTTTATTTTTTATCTTTTTCATGATAGCCATTCTGTTGGGTGAGATGATATATCATTGCGGTTTTGATTTGCATTTCCCTGATTATTAGCAATGTTGAGCATTTTTTGTGTGTGCTTTAGGGCCATTTGTATGTGCTCTTTTGAGAAATGTCAGTTCCAATTATTTGTCCGTTTTTTTTTTTTCCTTAGATTTTGGGTTGTTGTTGTTGTTGTTCTTGTTTTGCTGTGGAAATATTTGAGTTCCTTGTATATTCTGGACATTAATTACCAGTTGGATGAAAAGTTTGGAAATCTTTTCCCCTAGTCTGTAGGTTGCATTCACTCTGATGATCATTTTCTTTGCTCTGCAAAAGCTTTTTTAGTTTGATATAATCCTCTTTTCTTATTTTCTGCTTTACTTGCCTGTGCTTTTGAGGTCTTACTGAAAAATATTTTTCCAGAGCAATATCCTAAAGCATTTCTCCTATGTTTTCTCCTACTAGTTTTTTTGTTTTGTGTCTTATTTTTAGGTCATGGATCCATTTTGAGTTGATTTTTGTATAGGATGAGAAATGAGGTGTCTAGTTTAATTCCTCAGCATGTAGATATCCAGTTTTCCCAGACATTTGTGGAAGTGACTATTCTTTCTCCAATGTATATTCTTGACATCTTTGTCAAACATTAGTTGACTGAAGAAATGTGAATTTATTTCTGGGCTCTCTATTCTATTGCATTTGTCTATATGTTTCTGTTTTTATGGCAGTATCATGTTTTGATTACTACAGCTTTGTAAAATATTTTGAAGTCTAGTAATGTGATGCTTCCAGCTTTGTTCTTTTTGTTCAAGATGGCTGTGTCTATTCTGGATCTTTTATAACTCCATACAAATTTTAATTTTTTATTCTAATTCTGTGTATAATGTCATTGGTATTTTGATAGGGATTGCACTGTACCTGTACATTGCTTTGGGTAGTATGGTCATTTTAACATTATTCTTTGGATCCCTGAGCATGGGATATTTTTCCATTTTTTTTTTTCTATCCTCTTCAGTTTCTTCAATGTTTTATAGTTTTCCTTGTAGAGGTCTTTTACCTCCTTGGTTAAATTTATTCATATATATTTTATTTCCTTTAGAGCTATTGTGAGTGGAATTGATTTCTTGATTTTTTTAATCTAGTTCATTATGTATAGAAATTCAACAATTTTTGTATGTTGATTTTGTGTGCTGCAATTCTGCTAAATTTGTTTATTCTATGAATTTTCTTGGTAGAATCTTTAGGTTTTTCTATCTATAGTAAGATCATGTCATCTGCAAACCGGGATAATTTTACTTTCTCCTTTCCAATTTTGATTTCCTCTATTTCTTTCTCTTGCCTAGTTGCCCTGATTAGAACTTCCAATACTTGTTGCATGAGAGTGGTAAGACTGGGCATCTTTGCCCTGTTAAAGTTCTTAGAGGAAAAGCTTTCAGTTTTTTCCCCTTTCAGTATGATGTTAGCTGTGGAATTGTCATATGTAGCCTTTATTATGTTGAAGTATGTTTCTCCTATGTCCAGGTTTTTTAATGTTTATATCATGACGGGATATTGAATTTTATCCAATGCTTTTTCTACATCTATTGAAATAACAATATAGTTTTTGTCCTTCATTCTGTTGATGTGGTGTGTCACATTTATTTGTGTATGTTGAACCAGACATGCATTCCTGAGATATATCTCAATTGATCATAGTGTATTGTCTTTTCGATATTCTGTTGGATTCAGTTTGCTAGTATTTTGTTGATAATTTTGATGTTTAATATTTGTTAGAGGTATTGTCCTATAGTTTTATGTTTTTGTTGTTGTGTCCTTATCTGGTTTTGTTATCAGCATTATGCTGGCTTCGTATAATGAGTTAGTAAGAATTCCCTACACTTTAATTATTTGCAATAGTTTCAAATTAATTGGTATTCATTCTTTTTTAAGTTTTCAGTAGAATTCATATGTGAAGCCATCCAATCCTGGAATTTTCTTTGTTTGGAAGACTTTTATTAATCACTGATTCAAACTTATTACTTGTTTTTGTTGTTGTTTTTTATTTTTTCAGTCTAAAAATGGGTATGCCTATAATTGTGCTTAATAATAGAGACACGAAAAAAAAATGAGGGAAGAAAATAACAAACAAGCAGCCAACCAATATTTCATATAAACCTGTAAATAGATGTGTTGTGGTACTGATAAGAGTGTATATTTTGTATATTTAAAGTGAAGAGTTCTATAAATGTTAATTAAGTTTACTTGTTCCAGATCTGAGTTCAAATCCTGGATATTGTTGTTAATTTTCTGTCTGATTGATCTGACTAATATTGATGTTGAAGTCTCGCACTATTATTGTGTGGGAGTCTAAGTCTCTTTATAAGTCTTATATATCTGGGTATTCCTGTATTGGGTGCATATATATTTAGGATCTTTAGCTCTTCTTGTTGCATTGATCCTTTTATCATTATGTAATATCCTTCTTTGCTTCTTTTGATCTTTGTTGCTTTAAAGCAACTCCTGCTTTTTATTTATTTATTTATTTATTTATTTATTTTTGATCTCCATTTGGTTGGTAAATCTTTCTCCATCCCTTTGTTTTGAGTCTTTGTGTATCCTTGCATGTAAGATGGATCTGGATGCAGCATACCGATGGGTTTTGGCTTTTTTTGCCTGTCTGTGTCTTTGGATTGGGGGATTTAGTCGATTTAAATTTAGAATTAATAATAATATATGTGAGTTTAATACTGCCATTTAATGTTAGCTGGCTGTTTTG